ACACACACACACACACACACACACACACACACACACGCACACAAATAATTTTAAGTGAGTTTCTAGTTTTTAATTAAAGTGCCTATACTTCAGTTGATGTGTCACATGTTGAAAACAGAGCTGCGTGGCTGTGGCCTGTGACTGTCCTGCAGAAAGCGCTCACCTCTTTGGATACGGTCTTGCGTAAGCAGTCATAGGTTCCTGTGTAAAGCACATACTGAGCAGCTTTGGGCTGTGTTTGTAGTCTCACCTGAAACACACAGTTTAAATAAGAAGAATTACACACACGCACAAACACACACAGTGACCATGCAGGAGGATTGCTGAGTGCTGTCAGACAGGAGGAGACACCCACTAACATCTGCTGCTCTGTCACTGATAAACAGGGCGGTGCTGCGCTCATGTGACGGTTACTGCGATGCTGTGATCAAACTGTTTCTTCACAAAGACTCAGTGTGTCGCACACAAACACACAGACGTGGTTTAGATAGACTACAAAAAGATCTGGATTAAAAATAATGCCCATGTTGTAACGATAGGTTGTTGGTATTTAGCATTTACATTAGATTTCTGCACATTCAAAGTTACTAAATGGTAAATGGCCTGCATTTGTATAGCGCTTTACTCAGTCCCTAAGGACCCCAAAGCGCTTCACACTACATTCAGTCATTCACACATTCACACACACATTCACACACTGGCAATGGCAAGCTACATTGTAGCCACAGCTGCCCTGGGGCGCGCTGACAGAGTATGCACAATTATGTGAATAATAAAGTTATAAAAATCATAAGCAGTTATTACTTTAAAAAACGAAGTTATACGTTTTAGAAAAGGTGAAAATGCGACAGTGAGAGTAATGAGACGTTTCTATTGTGATGTGTTCAATACATGTGATGCTTCGTGGCTTTACTTTGTTTTCGTCAGAAATCTGATTTTAACTTCGGGAGTTTGAGCTGCACACTTTGTACCCACGCTGTGACATTTCCTCGACAGTCTCCCGCTGGCTCTAAGCAGCCTCATTACTCCGTGTTCAGGTGGCCGCCTCGGCAACAGTTTAAGCTGATTTGTCGGTAATCTCTTTAGCACCACGATCTGACATTTCCCGTGACTTCTTCAGAAACATCACCCCCCCGACACACACACACACACACACACACACACACACACACACACACACACACACACACACACACACACACACACACACACGTGGACGTGGACGTGGACTGAATGTTTCTGTCTAAAGGTCTAAATCAGCTGTGTTGAAGCTCGGCTCGGGCTGCAGCTCTCACCTTGATGGTGTCCAGTGGGTGTCCGGCCAGCAGCAGACACGCTCCTCCGACACCCCCAGCCACGAAGTTCTTGAACGGAGACTCTCTGGGCTTTTCCTCCATCCCGCTGACCCCGCATGGCCCGAGTACACAGCCGGGCAACCTCACCACCTCACACCGCTGCTGTCCAGGGAGGGGAGGGTGCGACTGTCAGCTGTCTGTCTCTGTGTCTGTCTAAGCGCGTCTCTCTCTGTGTGGACTTTGTCTCTCAGAGCTGAGCGGAAACGAGAAGAACAGTTATTCCTGTAAATAATTTATCTTCACAGTCACCCCTTCACATGTCCATAAACTCTTTGCTTTAGTCATATGGCGCACTTTAAACCACTGTTTTATATTTTTGTAGCTTATAAAAATCTGCCACAGGTGTATTCACAGGTAAGGTTGAAACAGGGGATACAGCGCCCTCTGGTGTTCGCAGAGCGAAAGATGTGATTTCTTAACACTGTCCAAAGTAAAAATACTACACTGCAATAGTACACCTGAGGGTCCTTCACTGCTGCAAAGTCTTCCTCACCTCTGCTGAGGAGGTCCTGCTTCCGGCAGTGTTTATGTGTCTTCCCATCTGAAAACACAAAGACTTTTGAATAAATTCAGATCCTGCAGATGGCGTCATGTTAACGGTCCACTGAAATTCAGCTTCCATCCACCAGCGTCTTCAAGGTCATCTCTAGGAGTTATTGGTGGAAAATGGCCAAAAAAACCCCAATTTTTCCTAAAAGTGTGATATGTATCATCAAAATCTACAAAGTAACATAAAACATGTGAAATATGCCACATTTGACGTCTCCTTCAAGGTCAGTGGATCGATCTGAAGGTCAAAATGATAATAATGTTGTATAGTGCTATTTTAAGCTTCTCTTTCCCATTGTTCATATTGATAACAATAACAAGGAAGTGGATAAAAATAGGGAATCGTACATGTGGATTGTAAATATTGTGGTACTTTGGACCTCTGACTTCTTCTTCCAGGTTAAATAAGGTCAAACTTTCACAAAACATTTTTTATCCTTAAAACTGTGCTTAAGATTCTGCTTGTTTGTTCGTACTGGCTACATTGAGGAAAGGATACCGGTGTATGGTGACTTTCACATCATAGCTGCATCCTAATATCATCTCACATTTGACCTCTGACCTCTGTTTTACATTTCTGCCTTTATTGATCCTAAAATGTGCAAAATCTTTAAGGAAAGTATTTTCAAGAGGAAGAGAGAAAACTCTGCTATTATGTAATAACCTCAAGTTATTCATGTCCGGTTGTTTACAAAGTTATCCACTCTTACATGTTTATATAAAAATAGAATATTATTCCACTGCTCAGAGAGAGAGAGAGATGCCTCGGTGGACGTTTGTGCTTCTTGTTCACACGTCAATAACTGTGACTTGCATATTTTATTCAATAAAACTCTAAAATCTCATGTAGTACAACGTTTAGGTAAATAAAAAGCCTAAGATGATCATTAAAAATGGTGATGAATTAAAAGTACATAAAGTATTTTACTTTTGAAACTGTTCAAATCAAGAATTTCTAAGACTGACGCACCTTTTTCCAGAAATTTTATGTTCTCAAATATCAGACTGGCGCAACAATAAACATGGGACTTTCATTATAATTTTAAAAAGTAAGAATAACGAAAGTGATTTTTCCCCATCCAGAGGATTACATGGAGATATTCATAGTTGGATGAAAGGGTCTGTAGCTTCGTCTTTAATATGGACACTTATATTTATCTCATACAGAGGCTGGTACACTTTCCAATGGAATGCCGAGAAGACTTTTTAACTTATTATAAAAAGGCTTTTGATAAGTTAATAAGCTCATTTCAAAATTACACATGTGCTCTTCCTACCAATCACAGAAGCTAACAGCCGAAGAAAAGTCAACAGTTGCAGAGGTCTGAAAGAAATATCAATTTAATTGAATAAAGTATGAAGCTTCTCTTGGATTTCTGAAATTCCTGTTAGTTTCATTTTAAATATGCTTGTCTGTAGAATAAATTTCAGTAGTTTCTCACGCCTGTCCTCCTGTGTGCGTCATGAATTTTATCATATAATCATGAGTTATATCAGTATGATTATTTATCTCTTTATCAAACGTTCATATTTCTGTTCATTAGTAATTATGCCAATTAGGTCCTTTTACACATAAACTAATGAACAATATTATTCCGGCGAATTTGTAAAATAAAAATAATTTTCTCGGTATAATAAACCATCAAACTGTCACAGGGGGAATAAATAAATAAAACCACTCAATTTTTATTTAATTAATAGATGAAACCAATGACTTTTACTGTCACTGAGTGAAACCAACGACGAATGAAACGGAAAGGAAAAGCGGCAAGTGCAAATGACGTCATCAGCAGGCGCCTACAAGCCCCATTAGCGGGAATCTGACCGTTTGGAACGGGTGGAGGATCAAAGTGAGTCATTTTCTAAAACATACGGACTATTTGAAGCTTCTGTTAGCCACGCTTTATCCCGGGAAATCCGGGTGAAGTATTTTAGGGCACGGAGTTAGCAACGCTGTCTGCTCTGGTTTTCGCGTTAAGGATCTGTGGTCACTTCCGGGTTTTTGTTTTTGTTCAGCCTACAGACTTTCTCGTTTAAAACGCGCCGAAACGCACACACACGGTGTAGCTGCGGCGATCAGGTCCTAACAGAATAAATGTGCGGCAAAAACTGTGTTTGTGTGGGACAGGTCAGCGCTGAGTCTAACATCTGGTTTGCTCTCTTACAAAGAAATGAACAGACTCTGATTTTTACGGTACTTAGATTTTAATGGCGTGAGACGGAACAGCCAATCACGGAGGCTGGTAAACATGCTGTGGGCTGCTTTCCTGCTGAGGGTGAAGAGGATTCTTCACTGCATTGAGGGGCTTGTGGGTCAAGCACATGTTTCAACCAATAACATTCAAATTAAGTTATAACTTCTATAATGTTTTTTTTTTGGTAGGAGGTCTGTGGTGTGTGTGTGTGTGTGTGTGTGTGTGTGTGTGTGTGTGTGTGGGGTGGGGGTTCTCTTTGGGGAGACAATAACCCGACGGACCAGTTGCAGGAACCAAAGCATGCATGTATATTCCAGATATCTGTAGTATTATTAGAATCATATGATTACAGCACATTTACCTCTCATCCACTTCTTAGAAGTGTCTCCCAGCGCACTTGTTAGCATGTTTTGGTTCCTGCATCTGGTCCGTCGGGTTATTGTCTCCCCAGAAACATTTCCATTGTGTTTTTCCCGATTTCCGTTGTGTTTTGTTTTCTTTTTGCAAGTGTTTTCTGAAGTTGCAGTCCGTTTGGCCTCTCAGGGCCACCGTACAGACACATCTGGCAATTTATTCATTTTTAATCCAGCGATGATGCACACGATGTATCACTTCACACCATAATTTCCTGCTGTGCAAAGCTGCAAACAGAATGACCTTTGGTGACAGCCTCCCCTTCATGTATGTGAAAGTCAGACTTTAGAAAAGTGCATGTACTGCAGAACCATTCGAGATGTGGTGCAGGGGGCCAGGAATTAAAATGCTGTGCAGTCCAACCTAAAGAGGCACATCTGTTCACCCTACCTGTCTCCTTTATCAGGCGGTGTGTCGCCATGACGCAGAGGAAAAGACCGTCCAGCACACAGAGCTCCTCTCAGAGAGTAAGTCCTTCGTTTCCACCACAGAAGAAATTCTTTTCACTTGTCTGCACTGTTACAGTAGTGAGAGGTGCTAGGGTAAAGTGGTGAACGCCTTTGTAATAAACTCAAGATCACGTCCAGATCAAACCACAGCAGCTGGAAAAAAAAGCAGCCCATGCAGGAAAAATGATTCCAACTGTGAGGGCACATGTTAAATAATTATTACACCCACTCCACGTGTCCCAATGATAGGAGCTTCAGCATCATGGGATATAGAGTTTGAATTAAGTGCAGTAATTTGATGTCTGTGATGCAGAGGGGCAGAAACAAGCTCCAGCTCTCTGGATGTTTGCTCTGTCTTCACTGGAGAAAACGTTCTGCATGGTTTCTTAAACACATGCTGAGAAACATCAGAGATGCTACGAGCAGAAACCGCTGAAGCAGCTGGACGAACAGGCCGGTCCCTGATGGCGGTGAGGTGGTCTGAATGGTCACTTTATTGGGAAACCTTCCACATCTTCAGCGGGGTACCTCGGGGTCATCGGCACTTTGCCTAAGTCAGGGGTCTCAAACGTAAATCAGCTGTGGGCCACTGCTGGCACTGTCATCTCACCGTAGTGTTCAAATAGTACAAAACAAACAAGAAGAAATCACAAATACTTCCAAAAGTGTTTGTTTTTTATTTTAAATATTGTATAACAAGACAAAACTGCAAACTAACCGAAGCCTTTTATTGAACTAGCAAACAAACACACCTGTCCTCTTCCTGGACAGACACACTTTGTCATACGTAACAAAATACAAACACAAGTGTTCACATTAGTTTGTGACTCGCTGAACTAACACAGCCGATCCCTCAGCATGTTTGTGCTCTCTGCTCATGTCACCTTCATAATAAATCATTTAAAGAGCTTATTTTAACATTTCACTCAACAACAAACAAACCTCCCCAACAGAAAGAGTCAAACTGCGTTATATTTCTTCACATCAATATAGGGGCTGCGAGTTTGAGGCCTCAGCGGAGCAGCAAAGGCAAGACTAGCTTTGACCTGTGGAGGGTTCAAACTGCAAGCTCAGACCAACCATAACCATCCTGAACTGGTCTCGGCTGCTGGATCGCTCTTCCCAGTGACTTTTTTTAAGTTGCGTGGGCTCCGAGCCGACCTGCTGAAAGAAACTGCGCTGACGTTGCCGGGAAATCAGAGCAGCAAACTTTCATAGGAAAGGAGTGTGAACGTAGCGTAGTGACTGATGCAGTCAGATGCTTGGGGCAGCATGCAGCCCAGGAGCTCGTTGACGCTGCTGCTTCTCTTTGAAACCTAATAGCTTTGATTGGTTGGACTTGATGGTTTTTGGTGTTGACCCTCTGGAGGTCCGTGTGTTTGGCGATTACTGCAAGAACCTTATCGTGTCTCCATCTTGTCCCAGAGCTTTTAGACAGCCAGCTGATAAAAGGCAAAGTTGCCGTACAGAAAAATAAGCTGAATCTGAGGGTGTCAGTGAGTTTCACAGATACTGACTCCATGTACATTTTTCCCACGTAGAGACACACCGGCAACTTGGTGGCTCAGGATGAGGATGACGATGCGACCTTCACTCAGCCGAGTACGTCACAGGTGCAGAGAGGGCTGGAGAAGCTCACACCTGCACAGGTCGACCAAAAGGTACAGAACCAGGAGAAATCCAGAGTTTGATTCTTAATGATCAGTAAAATGTATTTAATTTCTTTTTTCTGTCACTCGTCCGTCTGCAGACTGCTGAGGTGGTGCAGTACTTCCTGGTGAAGGACCAGAAGAAGATGCCTGTACGGCGAGCAGGTACAGACAGCAGCCAGGGAGCGTTTGAATACACGGCAGCGTTCCACTGAAAAGCCCTCTGAGGTTTATATCAGCTCAACTGTGAAATCAAACGGGGGTAACAGTTAAATTGAGTGCTAAGGAACAGAAGTGTCCACGAAAACAGAGGCTGCTTCAGTTTGTTTGAAAAAATAAAAGTGCTCAGCGTGTCGTGTCGGGCTCTGAAGAAGACGTTGTGAGTCTGAGGTGTTTTAAAACCTTGCTCGCAGCCGTGGATGTCCCAGACACGCGTATAAAGCACAGTAATGAAAGATAACGTCGTCTCCGTGCCGTTTCAGACCTGGTGAAACATGTGGTGAAGGATTACCGAAACATTTACCCCGAGATCCTAAAGAGGGCGGCGCGGACGTTTGACCAGGTTTGTAGAGTCAGAGATGATCGGCGTCTCGATTTGCAAGTGAAACTGTCTCAGCACGGCGCTCCTCTGCTGCTCTGTCCAGGTGTTCGGCCTGAAGCTGGTGGAAATCGACCCTAAAAATAAAATGTACATATTGGTCAATAATTTGGAGACGCCTGACAAAGCCTCGCCGGTCAGGTGAGTATTCATGCATATATTCATAGACCGGGGAAACGAGCGTCTAAACATCAGCAGTACAAATGTTTGTGTGCGCTGTGTGGATTCTGAGAGGTCTTTAACTTTAAGAAACTGGGCAGAGACTGCAGCCCCATCTAGTGGTGACATCATGTGTTACATCACAACCTAAACAGTTAAACGCTGAGGCCGAGCGTGTTTTATACTCTGACACAGCCAACATCAGTGCGTCATCAGAAAACCTGCATTTGTGTAACAAGTGTCTGTTTCCTGTGGCACGTAGGAGCCCGTCCAATCCAAAGATGGGTCTGCTGTTAGCGATCCTCAGCGTCATTTTCATGAAAGGCGGTGTCGTCAGAGAGAGTGAGTGTCAGTCTTCCTTAAATAAAACAAAGGCGAGTTGATCTGTGGAAGGACACAAGTTTGACAGGTTTGTCTTCCCTCGTCGCACAGATCTGATCTGGAACACTCTGAGGAAGCTGCGCGTGGACCCCGGGTGAGGCCACGCCCCTCAGTCGGCGCCCAGCTGCCCGTCAGGAGTCGGCACAAATCTGACTTTAAACGTTTCTGTTTGCTGTGCGCAGAGAGAAGCACGAGGAGTTTGGTGACGTGAGGAAGATGGTCACCGACGAGTTTGTGCGTCAAAGGTAGGAAGCAACCCGAGTCATGGGCTCTGTCACCGTGGTAACCGGGTCACTGTGGGGTCAGCCACAAATGATCAAGGACAGTTTAAAGTTCTGATCAAGTTACTGCGCTGAACTGGATGTAATCTGATTACCCGATAACATGTAAACCCCTCCCCCACCTTGGAAAGCACAGGCCAGGTGTGAAGTACCTGCGTCCTGCAGTCTGACGATGGCTCAGGCTTCTAAAGGCACCGCCGTGTAAGCAGAAGGTCGCGGGTTCGAGCCCGGCAGGGTCGCTGTAGTAGCGTACTGGTGTGTTCAGAGCCAGCGTCTGTCAGACCGTAGACTCTGGTTTATACCACACCACAGAGCAGCAGGAGGGCGCAGGAGGCCAGAGCACCGCAGCACCGTGCCTGGACCAGCTCCTCCAACATTCCCAAACCGGTCAGAAAACCCCGTGTTGTGTTTCGGTTCGCATTTCTTTGACATTTTGTCTTCAGTTACTTTTCTGCGTCTGTTTTCGAACGATGCATCGCTTTCCTACAAAAGCAGGCTGCAGTGGATCATAAAGGGCTTTTTCTCTTCAGCGTCTGTTGTTTTTCGCTGTATTGTAACTCATGTTTTCCAACCTGAAAGACTTCCATGCGACATGCTGGCAGCATCACTGATGTTTCATAATGATTATTTAACTCCTCAGTCTGGATTAAAAGGATCTGTTGATGTTGGGTTTCTTTTTTTTAAGTGGTTTTCATCAAAATGTAAAAATTGTCATTTACCCTGAAGTTAAACCCACAGCTGTCAGTGGAAGCAGGCACAACATCTGTAAGTGAACCCGGCTGATAAGGATTTAAGACTCAGATATTTGGAGACTGAACAGATTTATCGGCTGAATTTATTTGTTATTGTCACAGGTGGTGGACGGCCCATCAGCACTTATAATGTGGCTGATGGGTTTTCTCCAAAGTCTCTTTACTGCTTTAAATATCATCTGCAGTTTTATATTTCAGCTCATAAATAATCAGGCGGGCGATCGCAGGTCCTGTTGGGAGGCCTCTACTTCTGTAACCAGATGTGATGATCAGCATCGACGTTTCAGTTCGCCCGACCTTCGTTTATAGGAAGATCATGTTTTATTCTATAAGATGTGAAGAGCAGCTCGCTGCTCACGTTCAGTTTATATCGACTTCCACACTCATTTACTTGACATCTTTTCTGTTAATGCTCAGTTTGATTCCTGTGTGCGTGCGTGTGCGTGCGTGTGCGTGCGTGCAGGTACCTGGAGTACGTGCGGATCCCTCACACGGAGCCCATTGAGCACGAGTTTCGCTGGGGTCAGCGTGCCGACGCAGAGGTGTCGAAAGCCAAAATCCTGGAGTTCATGGGTGAAGTAAGTTTGCTGAGCAGAGCACGCCTACACCTGCAGATGAAGCTGTGGCTACTAATGATGGTTTTTTGTGTCCGATCTCAGCTTCATGAACAGGACCCTAAGACCTGGACTCAGCAGTACAGACAGGCCCACTCCCTCCCCAACTCCAGCCAGGCCTCCACCAGCAGCAGCAGTCAGAGATAACCACCTGACAGCTTCTCCTGCCTTCTTTTTATTTATCGTGTGTGAAAGAGAAGCTGCAGCAGCAGCGTTGTGTGGACTGGTCGTGTTACAGTGTGAATCCCGGTTACATTAGAGCCTCGTGTTGGACTCGTGTGAGCCTTCGTTTTAAACATGAGGAAAAAAACACAAATGTCCAGTATCCATTTAGATTTTATTGCCTGGATTTTAACGTAACAGCAGGTTTTTTTTCACGTTTATAAAATAAAGTTTTATAATTGATCCAACAACAGTGATTGCATTGATTTGACTGGTTGCTGGTGACACAGCGGCACGGGGCGGGGTTACTGTACGAGTCTCGTTTAAACACAGAATTACTGTTCAACACTGCAGGTTTGCTACCACTCACAGTAAAACTGACTCACTGTGAAGATGAGGATCCCCTGAGGTGGTTTGATTTTCTATTGCTACACCAGGTGATTCTGCACAACGCAGAACATAATGCTCCAGCACACAGAGGCCTCCAATCACATCTGAGTAATAGTGTTAGTCGCTATCCAGGTTTACTGGTATCATGAACCTGACTCACCTAACTACAGCATATCACCATGGTAACCCTGAGCTACCTACTCTGGAAAATGTGCATTTTTCTACAGTTTCTCAGGTGAGCACATCCCTAAACTGCAGGCTTTGAGGTATATTTGATCCTGTATACTATTATTAAGAACACCTGAAGGTGTTAACACGGGTGGTGCGACTCCTTTTGCAAAGGAAGCCTACGCAGGTGTTTGGCTTCACTATCATCATGAAGCTTATTAATTCTGCAGCGTTCATCAGCAGCACAGTTTTTAGCGTCTCATCCGAGCAGCAAACCGATGTGTGGAACCACAAACGCAGTCCCTCGAATGACCACAGGATGTGGCCGTTTTGATTCCAGCATCTAACTGATGCTTTCATTGATCTTTAGTGACTTTTAGTACGACACCAGTCTGTGCTGCCTGTAATGAACCACTCGCCCTCCTAACATCAACCTGCCTGTAGGTGAGTTCATGATACCAGTGATCCTGGATCAGCGAGTCCAGGAGACAAAGAGCAGGACTACAGCGGACGGACACATCATCAGGACCACGAACAGTCAGTGTAACTTCACAGAAAAAAAGAAAAAAGATGCACCAGACCTCCCTCCCCCACTAAAGAGTGGGGTGCATAGAGCAGTCATGGATTGTGTGTTTATGAGGCACATTGAGGTATCGGGCAGTTACAGGACCAGCTGTCCCCTCATGTTTTACGCAGGAATTATGGGTCGTGTGCTTTGAAGGCCTCGTTTCTGTTTTATCTTTTACAATGAATAATACTGAAAACTACCAAAAACCACATTCAGCCAAACACTGTCAGCCAGTCCTGCTGAATCCAATCACAACCCCTCAGGTTATATTCCAGTCGCCTGTGGATATCTGGGCAGGGATGGTTTTCCTCCATCTTTTTTCTTTTTCTTTTAAATGAACGCGGGCCGTTTAAAAAGAGATTAAAACACTAAACTATCATCACAGTTTCTGAACAGGCTGAAGGTAATCAGAGCTGAGGCTCGCAGAAGTCCCGAGGCGCAGACACGGTAAAAACATGGATGCATCTACCTGCATTCTGTCTGAAGGCCACCAGGTGGCGATAGCTGGGTTCCAGTTTTATAGGTGTTTAAACTGCTTTCTGTCTCGACTTTAACTTTTTTTTTTCCCCCTGATGATCATCAAGTGTTTCCTTGTTGTTTTAGAGCGCGTGTTCTGGGTGTTTTATCAGCATCGAGGCGCCAAGCACACGACTCAGGGAGAGTTTTATTTCTGCCCTGGAAGAAGGCCCGCGGGCGTGATGGTGGAAGTCCGGCTTCAATGCGTGAATGTGGCTTTAAGAAGTCGATTAGATCAGAATAGAAATGTTGGTGCATTTACCACCAGAGCAAACATGACGGTTTTACTGCCAGGAATAAAAACTTTTTCAGCAATCCTAAAAATCCTTTCAACCTGTCCTTTAAGGATCTGTAACAACGCTCTACTCGCTGACGGTAACCAGCACCACGTGTTCGGTATGTCAGTGTGGACAGTTAACTTCCTACAATGACGGTTCAGACTGACACTGGTTACAGCACAGGTACAGGTGAGGAAGAGTCGAGGAGGGAACACGGTAACGCAGACCCCCCGGCACATGTTCAGCACTACTTTGTTTTTTTCCCCACAGTAGACGAGACCTCTTCTTCATCCGGCCTCGGTCCTACGTTATAAAGTGCATCGACAACGGAAAGAGGCTACCACAGAGAAATGTCTCATTTTCAGTGCTGTGAAGCTTCAAACTGTCACAACAGCAACAATCACAACAGCGATGATCTCTAAGATTACTTAAATTAAAAAACAATAAAAGGCCACTTCCACCAGTGAATAAAAACGAGCTCCCTGCCGGCCTCCTCTAGATGTGTTCAGGGACCGTCTCCAGGGCCTCGGCCGGGTCTCGGTCCACGTCGACGTTCTGGGAAAGAAAGTCAAACTGAGTCTGATGCACAGAGTCGCAGCGCTTTGACTCAATGCAGGCTGCACACACACACACACACACACACACACACACACCTGTGATTTATTAAAACCATTAGTTCACCGAGTGTGGGCGGTTCCTCTGCACCTCGGTCAGTCTCAGGTTTCGTTAACGCTACAACTTGTGTTCAGCCGTTTGTGTTTAAAAGAAGAAAAATCATATTTCATATTTACCACCGGCTTGTCTCTGTGCGTGTTGACGGCCTCGATGTTCAGGAAGACGGATTCCACTTTGCAACCTGAGGGAACAACAGACGGACGCTGTGATTGCACGTCGTGACTTCTTCCACCAGCACGCCGTTCAAAAACAACTTTCATCATCTTACTTTGTGTTTGCTAGTTTACGCTGCAGAGCTTGTTTTAATGCTACTAACAGAGGAGGACGTTAAAGTCAGAGGCAGAAGAAGGCGAGACTGACCGTAAGCGACTGGCGTGAGTTTCAGAACCGTGTGCAGAGGACACTTCAGGTACGGCAGCTCGTCTGAACACAGACAGAAATGTTTGTTCATCCACAGCATGCCTGCTGCCATCACTCTAACCACAGAGAAATAAACTCGGGGAATCTATCATCGTTTCTTCATTTGTTTCATTATCGAAAAAATCCTGTGAAAGATAAATAAGAAGTGATCCTGTACTCTCAGCGGTGGGTTCATAGGGTGATATTTATGGGAATAATTCCAATAATTTAATCACCTTTCGATCACAAACATGAGCGTAAAGGCTCAAAGCCTCAGCAAAGCCACTGCAGAAGAACCACTTACTAGCACTCTTGTCCAGGAAGTAGGCCAGCAGACACCTCATGACTGCCTGGTGACAGATGACTAGAACGTTCTCCTGCCTCTCCAGCTCCATGATGACCGGCTCCAGACGCTGAACGAGGTCCTCGTACGACTGAGACACACACAGTTAGATATCAGTCACTTTGCTGTCAACGCGTGAAGCTGAACGAGGCTCCTCTTGTCATCAAACACTCGGATTTATTATCTGACTCAAAATGGGACCAGATTTATTTTTTAATCTCTTTAATGTTTTATTCAGTAAAACATGGAACAGAGACCTAAACTCATAGTGACTCCTATTACACAGCCAGAGCAGCTGCCCCCTGCTGGCCAGCAGGTGACGCAGGGTCCACACCCACCTCTCCTTTAGGGTAGCGGTAGCGATACTTGTCTTGGTCCCTCAGCGCGAACTCCTCGGGGAAATGCTCCTGAATCTCCTCGTACGTCATCTCCTCACAAACCCCCTGAAGTGAAACACACAGGAAGTCAGACTCGTCTCCTACGAGCAGAAATCATCCACGTGAAGCGGCCGAGCCGTTTCTTTACGTACGGCGTCGATCTCGTTGAGAGCTTTCCATTGTTCGTACTGGACTCCCAGAGCCTCTGCGGTCTGGATGGTCCTCTTCATGTGGCTCGTCCACACCTTCAGGTCGCTGATGCACTGCCCACGCATGTAGGTGCCCAGAGTGCTGGCAAACTGACGGACAAGAGAAAAATCTCACTGACAACAACATGACCCGAGATCACAGGTGCATTTAAAAAAACAAAACAAAAAACGAACCTTCGCCCCGCGAGAGGAAAGCCCAGAGTCGCCTCCGATGCGACCCACGAGGTTCAGTTCGCTCTCACCGTGGCGACACAGGTAGATGGACCTCGGGGTGACGTGGATGTTCATGAGGTAGTAGACGATCCGGCTCTGAATGTGGTCCTGGACCCGGTTCACCAGGTATCTGCTGCCCACGTTGAAGATTTTAATGTAAGACAAGTTCCTGCAGAAAGACGAGGAAAAGAGACCCAAAAGCGTCAGCCCTGTTTAACTTCCTCTGCTGGACACAACGGTGCGTTTACGTAACAAAGACAGGTCGCCCAGGCCGAAGACACAGGACCAACAACCTGTCACGCAGCGATGTATCAATGTGAAGCTCCTATAAAGATTTCATTCTTTAAAGTTGTTCATTTCTTCTGCCATCATATTTGTACTTAGTTACATTTGTACTTAATGCACACGCATTTTCTTTTTTCTCAGTGTGATGGATGCTCAGGGACGACTTCAGGATCTCACCCAAGATTCAACCACAGACGGTCCCATTAGTGGGCAAACCGCTCAGCCTGCTGAGCCACAGTCATGTGAGGAATCCTGCCGTATTATTGGCTCGTGCAACCGCTGGACCAGCTGAGACGGACGTCCGTAAAGCTCTCGCTCCACAATTTATTACAATTTAAACATATTGTCATATTTAATGGGCTTCAGAGGCATCAACTCAAACCAACATCGACTGTGCAGAGTGATTGATGTGATGATGGAGTTTAATTCCAAATTCTCTGTGTAAGGTTATTTTATGAGTTTAGCATGAACAGAGAGTGTGGCTGATCTGCCTCCACGCTAACAGTGAACCACGAGGTGTGGATTTTCCACAGCAGGGGCAGTCACCTGTCCTTGGTGTCATCGAGGGGGACGTAGGTCATCGTATAACATTCGATCCTCTTCAGGAAGTCGGCCACGGCCTCCTCTTTGTCACAGCCGGCGTAGTCCGGGCTGCTCAGCTTCACTTGCTGTTTTCAGGCAGAGAGAGTGGGAAAAGTCACGACTAAAGCAGGGCACATGCTGAGAGAGACGTGAGCTGCACGCACAACATGAAGTCTGAAACGAGCCAAACTGAAGAGAAAACAAGAGAAAAGGACGGAGAAGCTGCAGGAAGGGTTTCTCCACGCTTTTGTTGTGGAACAAAAACCAGTCCAGGTCCTGCCAAGACACCCGCGGGCTGGCACAGCGAGCTCGGTTCAGCCCGTTCCAACAAAAACAAACTGAAAGCGCGCCGGATCCCGGCTCCGAGCAGCGACTCGCCTCGGCTCACTTACTTTAATATTCTCAGCGATGATGTCGGGGTCGTCACATATCGACTCCACAAAGAAAACCTGAACAGGAAGGAAACAAAAGCTGTCACAGAGGTTTGACGAACACATTTCTATTTTTAATAAAGAGAAAGAAAGAAAGTTGACCTTGTAGCCGTTTTCTTTGGCAAAGTTCAGGATGACCTCTCTGCGGTCCTGGGTGGTGTTCGTGGCATCAAAAACCTTCAAGAGACAAACTCAATAAGACCACGCTGACCGACTTTAACAGCTGCTCACACAAGGCTGTGATGACTTGTGTTCACGGCGTTTTAGGGAGATCTGATTTGTCACTGTAATATTGTGTTTGTGTGTCCACTGCAAACAAAAACGTGCTGCTGAGCAGTTTGGAGGAAACTTTGACTCACCACCACCTGACCCTGCTCCCTGCTGATGTACTCGCACACGTCTTGGAGGGCAGCGACGGCGCAGGCCCTGCGTGCCGACACAGAAACCGACACGTTAACGATGTATGACACTGTCAGCAGGCGGGACTCACCCCTCATATCTTTACATGCTGGTAGGAAAGTAGGAAACAGCTTCAGCCGTTCATGCTGCATTTCCACGTATGTGCACGTGTGTTGAGTTTCATGCACCTCAGTTATGCCAAAGAACAGCTGGACAGCTGTGAGTGTTTAAAGTCTGTTACATACTGCTGCGGTCTGACCACTGTGAGCGCTACAAAAGCTCATCTTATCTGCAGGACATCAAATGGATGTTTTTGTTTCCACGTTTTCATCTTGGAGCGTGATGGAAGGTGAGCAGCACTGTGGAGAGTTACAGGTCAGTGCGACCGACTGAAGAAGAAGGGGCTGAGGGGCCGAGATCATGGACGGTGAGCTCTGCAGTGAACTGCTCCAGCTCCCATCTCACTTTGTGTCACAGATTATTTAAGGCCAGTTTATGACTCAACAACAAAAGTCTAAAAACAAAGTGCGAACGATTCTAACAAGCTTGAAAATGAATGTCTGATACGGTCACTTTCAGTCTTTACGCCTAAACGACTCACAGCTCAGGTACAAGAACTGGACTGAAAACGGGAGAAAAAGCAGCAAATGTCCAAACAGTAACTTTTAAAGACCTTCAGAGAGTTGGACTCGTATTGCTCACGAGCACTTTAAAAATGACGGCGTAGTCTGGCTCCTCTGAAGCAACATGCTGTGGGTTTCAGAAACACAGCCTCACACACTAACGCCTTAATGCCGAGGTGTGGCACACGTGCAGCTGAGGGTTCGTACTTGCGGATCTTCATGGCCTCCTCGTTGTCGGGTCTGAAGAACTGGTAGCTGTTGTAGGAGCAGGTGGCCTGTCTGCGGTACTGGCCCACATTAAACACTGGAACACAGAGAACACAATCCTGCTGACACAGTGACAGGGTCTGGATCTGTAGCAATGAGCTAACAACGCTCAGAGATTAGAGGTGAGACTAAACTTACAGCTAAACATGCTAATGAGGATGCCATCTGCTGGCTTTTTAGCAGTGACCATCACAGGTTAGGGGAACGAGCCGCGAAGGATTATAACAACACAAACAAGGAGCAGTAACTGTGGCTGACAGCAGCACACGTTCTAACCCACGATGCTTTCAGACGGCTGAAAAAGACCAAACTGCAGTTCCTCTAACATCCAGCAGAAGCTCCAGCAGTCAGTCCGTCCCCATAAACCCGGGGTGGCAACCCCAGGCCTCGAGGGCCGGTGTCCTGCAGCGTTTAGATGTGTCCTTGATCCAGCACAGCTGATTCAAATGGCTAAATGACCTCCTCAACATGTCCTGAAGTTCTCCAGAGGTCTGGGAATGAACTAATCATGTGCTTCAGGTGTGTTGACCCCGGGTGGGATCTAAAACCTGCAGGGCACCGGCCCTCGAGGCCTGGAGTGGCCCACCCTGCATAGACTCCCATGTTAAAACTTCTGCTCCGGTCTCTAAACACAAGCTCTGCTCCATAAAACCGTACAGCTTCACTGTGAGCAGAAGAGCAGATGCAAAACTCGTGTGGAGAATAACAGATTTTTGCACTGATGAAGAAGAAAGTATGTGCACAGCTTACAGCTGTTATGACCGAGGATGGAAATCTCCTTACTATCATTGAAATGTCATCAACAGACTCATCAGAGCCATGCTGACTGGAATGAACTTTTTAGATCCTTGAAATCTGACAGTGTTAGGATCCTCTGAAGGATGTGCTGCCAACATGTTGGTGTCAAATACCGCAGAGCACCTTCAGAGTCCTGAGGAGGCCTCAGCGCCCTGGAAGTGTTTTGGCAACACACAGCAGACCAAATAAAGTCCGGACAGCCAGAAACGCCGCGGCCAAACAGTTCCTTTGCTCTCATCCGCATCTCTGCAACCTGCCTGTTTATCCACAAAGCTTTGACCTGAGAAACGTTATTACTCTGCTGCTCAGTCAGAGTCTGTGTGAAGGTTTACAGAAATCACTCCAAGCTGCATCAAACAGCACCTGTAGTAGTATTTATTTATTGTCATTGTCAAGAACAATGAAATTGCGTTTGGGGCTTCCATACAACCCAAAAAAGAAGAAAATAATAAATAGCCCTTAAAACCCAAGTGTACATATTTAACCCAGTGTGACTCCAATGCAATAAGACAATCCTTAGCAATAATGTTGGTAGAAATTCAGACAAAGACCTGAGAAACATGACAAAATACAACAATGCAACCCATTCAATATTATTGTACTGTGAGATATGATATCAGATATGATAGTTATCTATTTAAGAAAGAGGGGGGGGGGCAGGGGGGGGAAGAGAATAAAGATATGATGCACCAATGCAGACCAGTTCATTGCTATTAAGAAGTTGGATATGGTTATTGTCCGTGAGAGGGGGCAATAACCTGCGAACACGAGCTGCGTTACAGCTCACACTAACAGATGCGTTTCCATCTGTGTGGCGACGGCCTGGTGTGTCAGTTTAGCCCCGCGCTGGCGGCCGATACCTTTGGTTTTGACGCCGATCCAGTTCAGGTACCTGGTGAGCTTCGTGGAGATGTAGGTTTTCCCTCGTGCCGGGAGGCCCACCATCACGATCATGGTCGGGGAGTTGGTGAACTGGGGCACCGAGGCTGAAACGCACAAACACAAAGACGGTGACTACAGGTGACCAGCGCAGGTGTCCGAGGAGGAAACACCGACGTCTCAAAGAAGCCGTGAAAGTTTTACCATCTGAAGTCTGACGAACATTTCAAACACATCAGTCTTATAAATACTGACACAAGCCTGCAAAATACTCCAGCTACTACATTACAATGCTAGCATCTCGACAGATGGCTCCGCCCCTCCCTGAGCCTGTCGGAGGTTTCTTCCTGTTCAAAGGGAGTTTTTCCTTCCCGCTGTTGCCAAAGTGCTTGTTTAAAGGGGACACATGGTTGTTGGGTGTTCTCTTAATAAATAAACACATTTAAGTAAATGTTTATAAATTCATTTCTGTTTTTTGTGTAAAAATGTGTCAAAGACATTAGAACTTCTTCCTTTTTATTTCATCCATGTCTTTGAAGCCTCGGTCCTCCGTACGATCCTGATCTAAATGTTAATGCCTGGCTGTGAAGGAGAGGCAGCAACAACACAACCATGTTCGGCTCATCTCGTAAACAATGTCTGACTGCACAGCTTTCCTTCGCTGACGTCAGTACAAGTGTGCCACGAGGGTTCGAGCTGGACTAAATGTTATTTTGGTGATAAGAAGGAACACCGTCTGAGTCATTTTTCAGGGTCACAGGCTGTAATCTTTCCTCCCACAGACACACGCTCGCCGTACAGAAAGGAGGTGATTTTAAGCTCATGGCGAGCTTCTCTCTTCTTCATCGCTTCAGTTTCATGTTTGTTTCCCAGCCTTTCTGCACTTTACTGTAGTTTAAGTAGGAAGTGCAGCTGAAGTCAGTGAAGTTTACTGCTGTTCTTTGAAATACGTTTTCTTCTCATTTACTGGGTTTTTCCTTTTCCCACATCAGCACTGATCTCATTTCTTGCTGTTGTTGGCTTTTGTAAAGCACGCTGTGTTTGTGTGTCTGTTGCATATAAATACATCACACCTGATTACCGATTGATGTGGAGTTAAGACCATAAATCACCCTAAAACCACTCAGACCCATCTTGTGACATCTCCACAGCTCCGACCGCAGGCTGCAGACACTCCGACTGCACAGACGAAGCAGTCACAGGGAAATGTCACACGTATTCTTGTGCTTTTACTTTGGTAAAGGATCCAAATAAAAACGTTAGCACTCAGAAAGCAGCAGTGAGCACTGGTTGTTTCCTCTTCAGGTGTTTGCCTGCTGCTGTCGCCCCCCCTCGTTGTTAGGCTGCCCGTTCAATGCTTACAAAGCTGCAAAATGTTAACACGTCTGAGTGAAAGCTTCAGGGAAGATCTGAGAGGAACCTGACATTCGTTTGTTTCTTCTTCTGACAGCTGCTCTGTGTGGGATCTTACTTTCAACAACCCTCTGCATGCACTCAGATATATACAGACGTCACATCAGCAGCAGAAATGTGGACTTTACAGCAGAGAATCAGCAGCTCCACGGCCGCTCTGCTGCCTTGCTCTGAGGTCAGAGTCAGACACTCCTGCACTGATAAGGTTATAACTGTGTGGTGGGAATTTTTTCCTTCAGTCGGGGGGTGAAGATCGGAAAATTGCCACCCAATCATAAGCTACAAATGATTCTGGTGTTTTTTCTGCGCTGCCGGTTAAACAGAAACGTGCGGTCCTGACGTTTGATTGGGCAGGCTGAGCCTCGCCACACACACTTGTCCACCAACAGCCTAGTTTTCATACTTTGTAACTCTTTCTTCAAAATATTTTGTTATTGTGATTCTTTAGATGTTTAGTTTCACTTTGTACTTTACAAAATTCTTTAAATGCACATTTGTCGTGTTATTTTTGAGTCTGAGTCTGTCTGACCGCACGCAATCACACAGCGACCCTTTAGGGTGAATGGCCGTCAGGACACACACACACACACACACACACACACACACACACCTGGTGAATCCACACAAGCTGTTCAGAAGAAAACGCACAAGTATCAGCATGTCAAAGCAAAACAAGGCATCACAGCGCAAACCGTGTGTGTGTGTGTGTGTGTGTGTGTGTGTGCACGCACATGTGCTGCATGTGTGCGCTTGTGTACTTACAGCCTCGCCGTCTGTTCAGCCTGCTCTGCATCCATGGACCCCAGGTCTTCTCCAGAGGATTCTGAGTGAGTGTTTGCGACATGGCTTCAACAGCCAGGTGTGTGTCTGTGTGTGTGAACCTCTCCTCTGTATCTGCGCTGTGTGTGTGTGTGTGTCTGTGTGTGTGAACCTCTCCTCTGTATCTGCGCTCTGTGTGTGTGTCTGTGTGTGAACAGGAGGACGGGATAAAGGCGCTCTCCCAGCTGTGTTCAGATTTTGAACTTTCTCACACCACATCAGAGTGGGAGGAGCTTCAGCAGCACACCTGTTTGGTTTGCGGCAGAGGATGCGGTGCTTCTGATTGGTCGGCTGGCCTGTCAGTCAGTAAAAGACACTAAGATGAGGTCATCCACCAATCACCATGTGCTGCAGTAACCTTTGTCCCGGCACACAGGAAGTGGTGTAACGTGACAAACGGGTAACAACCATGCTGAGCGGCTCTATTGTGATTCTATCAGCTGACACCCAATGAAAGCAGCCGAGGCCTGTGTGTGTGTCACATGACCTAGGCCTTCATTAATATCAACCATGTGGGTGGTGACTGACTTGTTTGTTGTATTTAAATCCAGTCCTGAGATAACCACACACACACACACACACACACACACACGACTGAATGTAATTAAAAAGGAACAAGAGCAGAAAATCCAAACTGCACAAATTCATTAAATGCATTTTAAATGTAATTATTAGAGGCAGTCATGTGTGGAAAACAGCTTCTACCAAACAAAAACACTTTAAGAAACGAGCAGATCAGACTGTGCCTGGACATCCTGACCTTTCTGCATTAATTAACGATCATTAATCCACCTTCACGTGACCACAGTGCTGCGCACACGTCTTGATTTTGCTTCCAAGGAGCCAAACCTGTTTTGTTCTCTCCCATTTTCAGTCCACTCCTTGTACCTGACCATTTTCAGAGGAATGTTTTAACTGCTGACCAATGAATCATTCAATGAACCCAACTCCAGACACTTTACTACTACTCATGTGTCACAAAACATGCCAAAGACTTCACCGTTTGACATGCATAAAACAGTATTTTTGCACCAATGAACGAATTTCCAAAGAGCTATTGGATAAAATCTTAGCATATCTAAGCAAAGTGTTCAGAGTGTCGTTAAAAAATTAAATAAATAAATGAAGAAACCGGAGAATGGAGGACAAACCCCAGAGGAGAGGCTGAGGTATGGCTGCACAGTTACAGCTTAACTGATAATCGCCATCATTGTGATCAACACTGAGACCACAACTATTTGTCACGATTAACAAAATGTAAACAAATCTCTGCATTGCTGTGAAAGACTCTGGTGACCTCAGCACGTCTGAGCTGCACTGCAGCGTTGGCTTTAATGCATTAATTATGTTAATGGAGTCTTTGCTGATGGAGTCCCTCAGCTGGCCGAAGAAGTTGTTGCTGTTTGTGCTGCAGACACAACTCTGCAGCACTCTGTGCATGTGATGCCTTCATGTTTAACATCAGCTGCCTTAAAAACGAAGTATTACCAAACACCATGTCTGCAGTGCCACACACAGATACATTTTCCGTGTTACTGCTCCAGGCATGGAGCAGGGAAAGGCTGTGATTGGCTCATATAGACGAGTGGTCGGCTGCTTATTTAGGGAGCGCCTGGCTTGCCTTTGCTTTGATGGCTCATTTAATTCTGGAACATCAAATACAAGTAATTGTGCAGCCCTCGGCCGACGTGTGCCAAGTTACATTTTTGGTGAGAGCCTGCAGACGTCTGTGAAACACGGTGGAGGCTCTGTTATGGTTCAGGCTGCAGTGGAGCGAGTGGTGTTCGCTAAAACTTCTAAATGCAGCAGCCATTTAAAGCCAAGCAAAGCACCTGACTGGGAGTAGGAGAATACCTGCAGTAAAAATATACCCGGGCAGGAAAACAGAGTGAAGCACTGCCATCAGACTGGGCTCCACAGAGTCCACACCTCAACGTTACTACAGCAGTGTGGGATCATCCTGACGGAGAACAAAACAAAGCAGAAACAGTCTGAGAAGAGCTCCTAACGTCCTTCTAGAGGCCTGAAGAGAAATGACTGGAGACACTTAAATGACAGAAATCTGTCTGAGAGAGTTCAGAGAAATAAAGGCGATCATACCAAAATATTCATTTTACAGTCACAGAAATCCGTTTTTGCCTGATATGTTTTACTCCCACACATCTTTTTGAACATGCTTCAATAAATCCTTACATCCATTTTCCAGCAGAATACAGAGAAATGAAATTGGCTCACGATTGTTGCACGGTACTGAACGTCATTCCTTTGCAAGTTAAGCAACATTGAAAAAAGTTTTCCCTTCGTTATCTCAGTTTATCTCCTTTCAGCAGACGGCTCTTATTTACAGTCGAGTTAGCTCCTCCTGTCCTGCTCTGTCTCACAGAGTGACGCAGACAGACAGAGGAGGAGGGACGCTATAATACTTATGCAGTAGGGCTGGGTTTTTATAATCGATTCATCGATTAAAATCGATTCTGGCTTGGATAACGTAAAATCGATTCATTAAAATCCTGAATCGATTTTTTTAATATAAATTTATTTTGTCCGAAATGCCAGAATCTCTGGTGACATCTCACAAAATTTCAAGAACCACCAAACAGTAAATGAGAGCAGGTACAGGGATTCTGCACATAGACTTAAACAC